TAAGAAACAGGGATTTTTTTTTTTTTTTTTTTTTTTGTAATAAAAGTCCTCTCTTTTTGAAATAAAATATAACTGCCTCATTAGACCACAAATCCTGCTCTGGATTTGGTGTGTAGATGGATGCTGTCTTAAGTATACAATGGTAGCTTTATCTTGCTTTGAATAACCAGCGATGGCCTACGGTCACTTTTTCTAATATTAATAATACTCAGCACTTTAAATTTGCAAAGTACCATGCAAACATTTAACCACTTCCTCCACCAAGTCTCCTCCTTCCCCCGTTGTACAGATAAAGACACGGTGGTACAGAGAGGAGAGAAATGACTTGCCCAAAGCCACACAGCAAATCAATGGCAGAGTAGGGACTAGAACCCACAAATCTTGATTCCCAGCCTCTGAGAATCTGTCTGACTATTGCCTGCCATCACTCACTATCCTAATTGTATTAAGTCCCAGCGCTCTGCATTTTGGGGGCACATAGTAATTTCTTTTCCAGCTAAAGAGTTCTACTGTTTTTCGCCCAGTCCTGTTTTGGCACAAATCCTTCCTCAGATGTGGTCTCACATGAGGTTTCTGTCCCATCTGCCTAAAGGTTTAAATGTTTAAACCCTTAATGTTTGAATAATAGTCGGATACGGTAGCTTTGTTATTCCATAGTGAGTGTCTCATTCTGGACTGAGCTTTCCAGCCATCGGAACATGAATTCTGAGATTTCTGTATAATTGCGTATAACCTTTAAATCAGAGCATTTAATCTCTTGATTTGTGATCTTAAGCCCCATCATTGAGGATGACTTTAATTCAGACATTAAAAGTTTGTACAGTGATCGTCTTTAAAAAGCTCCTCTGCGCTACTGTACAAAAGAGTCTGGCCTTCAGATCCTTAACTGGAATAACTTATAGCAACATTACTGGGAAAAGAGAGAGAGATTTCTGGATAGTTATGCTCTTTTTACTTACATATTGGCTTTTCTGTTTTATTCATCTTCCTACGTTATATTCCAGTTATTTACCGTGAATGTCGTTCAGCCTGTTGCTGTACGAACTCTTCATTGATCTCGCATCTTATCCTTCTACAGTGGTGTGTGTGGGGAGGACGCTGCAGGGTCTTTGTCCTGAATTTTCTTCGTTGAAAAATGAGGCCAGTTGGTTGGATAGAAAAGAAGAAATGCTTGTAAATCTAAAAGAAAGCAAAAAGGGTCTTGATGCAATTAAAGTTGCATCTGAGTTCAGTGGTGGTCCCGGGGGTCCCTTCTAGCCTTAAATTCTGTGACTCTCTGGTGGCCAAGTGGCCAGTTCACAACTGCCACAGCAGATGGCCCTCTTGTTGGCCGTCTCAGCAGAGAGGTCTTTGCCTATGGAGGGGTGTGCTGAGGACCCATTGCTGGGAAATGGTTCCCTCTGGAAGAAAACTCAGGCTCATTGGTGACAAGCTTGCACTACTTCTGCTCATGCTGTACCTGTTTTGCAGGCGAATAAAGATCTTCCTTCTCTAGGCCTGTCAGTCTGGCCCCTTTCCCCCAGCACTAAATCCACTTAAAATATGTATCTTTGTAAAGCTTTTTTGGAAGACTTAATGGACTGTGCTTTTTCTCATTGTGGAGGAGCTACAATGAGACAGAGCAATGCTTAATAGTCTGTTAAAAAAAGCAGATGTATAAAAAAATGTCAAAAAAGCTGTCTACATTATTTTTAAAAGAAAGTTATGCTTTTGTTAGTCTGGTATTATTTCTGGCAGCATCGCATCTTGCATTTAAATGGTCCATATTTAACTTGTATAAAAACTATTCTCTCAGTGTTTACATGAAAAAATCAGTACCTCTCTCTTAATCTTCTCTCTTAACCTCCAACTTGTGTCCCTGGAAAGTTTAGGTGCCGAACTAAGTGCCTTAGTGGCTGAAGATTTAGGTTTGTGTCCCAGACCGTCTTTTGTAGAACTGGGATAATGAATTAGTTCCAGCAAACCTGGATTATTTTGCAAGTGCTTGTCCTGTTATGCAACTCTGCGTCACTGACGGACCTTCTCTTCTTCTTTTACATGCTCTTGGGTCCCATCGTACTGCAGCCATGTCGAAATCAGCCGTGAAAATCTCTTCAGACCTGTTGTCCAACCCGCTCTGTGAGCAAGACCCCAATTTCCTGACAATGGTAACAGCCCTGGACACTGCCATGAAGAGAATGGACTCTTTCAACCAAGAGAAGGTGAGTGTGGGTTTTACTGAAGTGGGGAGGAGGAGGGGATGGGAACTTGTGCTCTGTGTGTGTGTGTGTGTGTGTGTGTGTGTGTATCTGCTCCATATAGGTGAACTCTCCCCTACCCCTTCCCTTTCTTCTCTCAGCCTAGGAGGGCCCCCAGATTAATTTATCATATCCTGGGACACTTCAGATGAAAATAGATGCATGTGCCTATCAGGGCTAGTCCTTAAACTGACTAGAGAGAGTTCTATAGAGTAACATGAGGTCCTTTCTCTCATCCCCGCACCACGGAGGACCAAGTGCGCTGCCCTCACAGCACGTCTGTCTTTGCTGGTTTGGGAGCACAGGACCAGAGTTGTGTCCCAGTGCTGCCAGTTGCACTGGAAACTTCATTTCAGCTCCAGAGCACAGGAAGTTGTGGGGTGAGATTTGATGAAGATGATGATGATGTTGTTAATTTGTACTCTGGTAGCACCTCGAGGCCTGAGCCCTAGTATGGAAGATGCTTCACAAATGTATAACTTAGTTCAAACAGGTTTCTTCAACATTTGTTTGTAACAATCTCTTTTCTTCCAATAGGTGAACCAAATCCAAAAGACGGTGATAGAGCCCTTGAAAAAGTAAGTAGCAGCATTTTCCTATGAGCAGAATCAAGTGCTCTCAATAGTCATGTTCCTTAGAGACGTGCATCATTTAAAGGGACAGTGTCAGGTTTAAAATCATAATCCTTCCAAAAGCAAATAATCTTTCACAGACTCCATACAAGAAGGTATCGTCCCTATTTTACAGTGAGAAGACCGAGGCACATGGGGGTTAAGTGATTTGACCAAGTCCAGGCTGTTAGCCTCTGGCACAGCTGGAAAAAGAGCCCGAATCTCTTAGTTCCTGATCTTGTACTTCAATCTGCCAAATGCACTTAACTGTGTTTCACAAAACACCTGAAGTTATTAAAAACTTGAAAGCACTTAAAACATCCAGTCTATCTCCATTTATGCTGTTGGTTACTTGCTACATTTTGCTGGGCTTGAAGGAGGAAAATGGACTAGTCAGTTTCATTTGCTTTCTAATCCGTTTCAGTCTCTGGTCCTTAGGAAGTTGCAGTGCAGTCTAATGCATTGCTGCCACTTTGGGGCTACAGATGCTAGAGGTGAATGTTTCCTTTGGAAATTTAAAAAAGGGAATTTTCAGAACTATTTTGTTCCTCTTAATTTTAGTTAAAAGCGTTTTTTCAACACCTAAATTTTGGGCCAGATTTGACCTGCCAGTGTCCCTGAAATTTGTTCAAGGAGAAGCTAGGAAGTAAAGACCCACACAGAAATATACATGGCATGACGTATCACAGTCAGATAAAAGCCTTGAAGGAACTGAGTCTGTGAAGCTCCGCAAAATCATCCCACCGAGCCTTAGCAGAGCCGGTGGATTTTGGCACTGAGTCAGTGTTTGGTGCTCACCATGGAGGCAGGGATTTAATAATGAATCCATTGGCATAGAAGCCACCCACTGACTTATTTTCTATAGACAATTTCCTTCGTTGGGGGGGCGGGGCGGGAGGGGAAGGATCCCATGAGGATCAGACCATGAGTCACCTGACCCTCTGCTGCCATGGGAGGGGGTTGAATTTGGTGTTGTTTCTTTCCATGAGCTGTAGAGCTTACATGAAAAAGCTGGTCTTCCTAGGAGTTGTTTGCTTTTCTAGGGCCTGATCCTGCACCCACTAAAATCAATGCCAGAATTTCCATTGGCTTCAGTCAGTCCAAGCTCAGAGGCTGAACGCACTGGTCTGCAGTCACTTGACATTTTGGTTCCTTTACCTTGAGAATACCACCTCCCCTGTTGCCGGATCACTGCATTCCCGCCACACTTTGCTAATGGCAAGAAGTTACCTTGTGTCTTACAGTGTGTCATAACCCACTGATGCATCGTCTCTGTAGGGATCTTGTCATCCATGGAACTCTTAAATGTTCATTTCTGTGCAAGTCCCACCAGCGTTGGCAGGAGTTGTAAGTGAGACTATACCCCTAAAAGTTAAAGGAGAATTTCATTTAGTGCAGCAAAATGTCTTCAGAAGTCCCTAGATTCTTTATTTTATTACAATAACAGAGAGAGAGAGAGAGAGAGAGAGAGAGAGAGAACAGAGAAGAAACGAAATACTATTTAGTAACTTTAATAAGACAGTAAGTGATGACAAATTGCTGAATAACAATTTTAGTTTACATTTGACATCTGGGGTTTGGGTGGTGGTGG